CCCCCCCTTTTTTAAAACTTGATCCCGAGGCACAAAGCAGTTTGATTGGTCTATCTCCGTCGGAGACGTGTCCGGATAGATACTGTTAAAAAAAAAACTTGTAGTAGAGGTTTTACGGCGCTCGCAACAGCATAAGGTCATAATAATGAGCGCCAGAAGATTAGAGGTGTTGCGAGCGCCGTAAAACCTCTACTAAAATTTAAACTAAACTAAAACGAACAAAAAACACAAAACAAATAACAACAAAGAAATAAACAAACAAACAAAACCCCATACACTTTACTTTAAAAAACCCAACCCAATCAAGATGTGCGTGTCTTTTGCAGGCGCAAATGTGATTTACCTGGTGGGTCCGGAGCAGAAGTCTGTCTCGGCGGTCCCGCCTCTCTCCCCCAAAACCAACAAACGAAGCGGCAGTCTCCAAGGACTGGAACCCAACCCACAGAGCCAGCGAGCCAACAGCACGAGCGGCGCGGACAGCCTGACCGTTGTGGGCGTGGCGATACAGCCACAACACGCCCCTTCCGCACCAGCCCCTCCCCAAAGTGAAGAGGGCGTGGCTTCATCAGCCATATACAGCTTTGCTTCAGCGGTAAGTTTTTCACGTCTGAAGTCCAGGGAAAGTGACGATATGCTGACTGATTTCCAGCCCCTATTCTGATAATTTTATGTTTGAAATTAAGTTTAACCCTATCCGCACATCGTGTATTACTATCGTATCCATACGACGTGGGGAACTCTGTGCCACCACTTAACCCTATCCGTACGTCGTGTATTACTATCGTATCCATACGACGTGGGGAACTCTGTGCCACCACTTTCCAGAGAGGAAATTTACTCGTTAATCTGATTCGTACGCTTTGCATATTAGTAGTCTGTCAAAACGATTTTTTTAAAAGAAATACTAAAAGTTTAAAAGAGATCTTCGAACTAGAACAAGAAGTATTCTAAAATGTGAAGAATACAACCCCGGGGGTACAAAATGACCCCGGGGCGCACGGATAGGGTTAACGTTTCATTGTCACTCTTACGTGGCATTTTCTTTCATATCAGTATCGTCGGTGGCCTAGAGGTTAGGCTACCGGACTCGTAATCGTGAGGTTGCGAGTTCGGAGGTTCGAGCCGCGGGCCCGACGTTGTGTCCATGGGAAAGACACTTTACACGAATTTTCCTCACTTCACCCAGGTGAGAATGGGTACCCGGGCATAGACAGCGAAAGGTCTTGTCAGTATGTTAGTGTTTTAGCGACAATAGATGGCTGCTTGCACTGTATGCTTTCCAGGAAGTTGAGGTTGTTTCAGAATGCTCTCGGGTCTGCTGGGGTAATAGTATAGATTGTGAAGCGCATAGAGCTTGCTGTTGAGTGGGGATTTGCGCTATACAAA